CCCTCGCTCCCTTCCCCCTCTGAAGCGACCCGCGCTTGCCCCCACCCCCAGGGCCGGCGCACCCTGCTTCAGCACACACACACAGCCGGTGCCCGGTCAGGGCAGCCGCTGAGGACTTCCGTTTGGCTCTAACCGCACTCCCTCCTGCTTGGTCTCTGTGACTGTCACCCCGGGCAGCGCCCTTCACCGCGTCACCCGCCCATGGGGCCGTCACAGCCTCCTGGCTGGCTCAGTTAATGAAGTCCTCAGGGGCAGGGATATGCCAGGTCAGCGAGGTGCCTGTGGAGCAGCACGGACCAGGAGACCAGGGTTCGAGTCCCGGAGCTTCTGTCAAAACCCAGCTGCGGGGGGACGGGGCAGGAGCACCCGGGAGCCAATCAGGGAGCCAGTCGGGGCGCTCCAGGCCGGAGAGGCCCTGCCCCACAGGTGAAGCGTAGGTAAGGAGGGCGACCCCGCCCCCCCACCCCCCAGGGTCAGTTCCTCTGAGGCCTTCACAGGCACACACATGTCAAGGAGACAAGAGCGCAGGGAATGCTGTTGCGGGCTGAGTCCCCTCCCATGGCTGGATTCACACCCATTCACCTGACTCCAGGGCCTTTGCACACTCCCGGGAAAGGCTCTGCTACTGACCCGCACTCCGGCCATCTCCAGTTTTATTCATGTTTATTTACTTATTTTATTTTTAATTTTGTTTTGAGACAGGGTCTCCCTGTGTAGCTCAGGCTGCCCTGAACTTATTTTGTAGACCCAGCTGGCCTTGAACTCGCAGAGCTCCGCCTGCCCCTTTCTTCTGGACACTGGGGCTGGTTTTCCTCCACTGTCTGCAGACTGAACGGTGCATGCCCTGACCTCTGACCTCTGCCTTCCTCTCTGCCCCTCTCACTGTGTGATTCTCACAGCTCAGTCTCTGGGCCTCCTCTAGAACCCCAGATCCCAGCGGTTCATGGTCTGAAAAGACCCCACTTTCCCCCCACAGGGTCCTCCTCCCCAGCGCCACATCAGCCCCAGCCCTGCCGTCCTCCCTCAGAACCCGGGGGACTTCCAGAAAGATCCGGGCTGAGTCCCCTCGGCCACCGCTGCCCTCTCCCACTTCCTCTGGGGTCACAGTCCAAGTCCTCCCGGCAGCTTGCCCTGCCCCCTCTCCTTCCTCCCTCTGCCCAGCCACAGGGGTCTCCCCCATCACACCAGGCCGCACCCCACCCCGGGGCCTTTGCACAGCTGCCCGGCGCCTTCGGTCGGACTCTGGCTGTGCAGTCTGGTAGTTCTGCTGATAAATTCCACCACCTTGGCTCAGATCTCCCACCCTCAGGAGGTCCCCTGGTTCCTGTCCCCCTACAGTCCCCTGCCTTCCTCCACCCCGACTATTTTCCATCTATTATACATCATTAGTTGAATTCCCTGTCTCCCCCTGGAGTTCTAGTCAGGAGAACAGGGGCCATGATGGCGACAGACCCTGGGCACAGTAGGTGCTCAGTGCTGGCTGAGTGCGGAGAGAGCTGCGGACTGGACCACAGGTTCTGTGCATGTCCTGCGGGTTCTCTGCGTCTCTGCGGGGGTGGGGGGAAGGGCCCTTGGACCTCCGCCTGGGCCGGACATCAGAAGCTCCAAGGAGTGCCACCCGCAACCAGGCCCCTCATCCCACCTCAAGGCCCGATTGTCCCTGGTCCCTACACCCCACAGACCTCACCCCCAACCCCAAACCTGTGGCCCCGGGGAGGGGGAGGCAGCGGCAGCGTTTGGTCCACACCGCCGTGTGCACGACCGGAACCGCACGAAGGCTACAAGCGGATGATTCTTGGGCAGCTGGGTGCCCAGGACAGACAGGCGGCCGTGGCTTCCCTCTGTCGGAGCCAAGTCCACCCCCGGACACCCCCCAACCCCGCCAGACGCCTCCAGAAGGACCCACAGACAGGAAAACAACCCGCCACCCCCCTTCAGCCAGTGACGGTGCCCCAAGTGGGTGCGTTTCCCGCGTGGACACAGACACACCCGGGGCTCAGGCCGGGCACACGGTGGGACCCTCAGCCGGGGCCCTGGGGACCCCCGGAGCCCCTTCCCGTGCACAGGTCGAGCTGGGAGCCTGTCCGGTCCCAGGTCAAGGCCTAGTGGCCTCAGCCTCCTTCCCAGGTAGAAAGACAGGAAAGTCGCCCTGGGCCTCTCGGTCTCCCCACTGTGAGCGCGCGGAGGGTCCCCACGCCCTCCTCGGCCCCCCGCTGGGGCGCTGGGACGGGCACTCACCATCCACCACATCTTCGCTGTCATGTCGTAGCACAGCTGCCATTTGACGGACGTCTCCCCTGGCTTCCCGGACACCGGGGGCCCTGGGACCTCCATGCCGGGCGGAGATGGCCCCAAGTCCCCGGAGGCGCCGGTGCCGCGCTCCGTGGAGCCCAGTGAGTCGGAGGAGGAGGGTGCCGGGGACAAGGGGAGGGGGCACACGGCCGGGGAGGGCGAGTTGGAGGGCGGGGACAGAGGCCACCCACAGCCCAGGAGGCGGCTGCAGTCCCAGCGGCCCTGGATTTGTGAATGAACACCCCCCGCCCCCCGGAAGCACGCGGCCGCCCCCTCCTGCCAGGCCGGGGACACGCTGGGACACCCAGGGCTCCTCCATGTGGGCTGGGGTGCCCAGGCCTGAGTCTGGAGAGCACTTGAGGCTGTGTGAATCTGCGTGAGCGGCTGGGCCTCTCCGGGCCTCTGTGTCTCCAGGCTGAAGCTAAACTACCCCTGTAGGAGGGTGGGGGGCTACTTAGGAGGCTGAGGCAGGAGGATCGCTGTGAGTCTGAGGCTAACCTGGGCTACAGAGAGGAAACCTGCCTCAAAAATTAAAACGCCAAGGAAAACAAACCAGAATGTCAAGGTTGTGTTTTCCTTCATCCTCCCAGGCCACAGCGCACAGGAGGGGGCAGGCAGCAGGCCCCATCCTGTTACTTTATTGTCACTGTGCGTCTATGGGGCATCAACTGTGTGCCCCGGAGATGAGGACTCTGCTGCTGGGAGGGTCGGGCGGCTTGGCTCTAACAAGCAGCAGGAAGGACTGAAGGTGGACCGCAGGAGGAACTTCCCAGGGGAAAAGCTGCCTGTTGGCTGGAAGGCGGCCCTGGGGAGCCGGTCTCTGCTCTTCCTGAGAGGGTGGTTGAGTTTCCCTCCTTTGTCCCCATTTTACAGACAAGAAAACCGGGTCTCAGAGATCTTAAGTGTCATGTCATGCTGTCCGTCCCCACGGACACCAGGCATGGGGCAGCGCTTTGCTGGCAGTGGACAGACAAACAGCGGTTGCCACAGAGGCGGCTTCCATGCCTCCTGGGTCTGGCTGGTGACCAGAGAGGAGGGGCCCGGGAGCCCCCCTCCCAGCAGCCGCTCGCCCCCCCCAGCTGCACCTCCCACAGTCGCATTTCCCCACAGTTACCCCCCTCTCAGCTGTGCAACCCCCTCACGCCCACCGCTGGAATTTGCCTTGACATCTTGTGGTCTCCCCCCCCCCAGTTCCGTCCAGTCACCCCAGATGTGGGGCCAGGATGGCAGGAGACGGGGATGGGAGGGGCAGGCAGAGAGAGGCCACGGTCCAAGCCTAGCAGCCTTCACAGACCCTGTGCCTCAGTTTCCGCAGCTGCAAAAGGAGAGGTGAGGGCAGATGTCGCTCTGGTTGACCAGGCTGAGGGTCAGAGGCTGTTGGCGGGGGGTGGGGGTGGGGGGGTGATGGACTGAGCAGGTGCAGCTCGAAGACCCCAGGAGGAACCGGGCGGGGAGGAGCCTCCTGCCGAAGCATGAGGAACAGAGTTCGAGTCCCAGAGCCCATGTCAGAACCCTGATGCTGTCAGAGCAGTTTCATATCTGGGAGGCGACACAGTGCTGAGAACACAGGGCCGTGGCCCCAGGGACCTTTTCTCTTTATGAGTCCATCTTCTCCTGCATGTTGTCGTAGTCAGGGACACGCAGACCACTAAGCGCTCACTCTCCAAAGAGGCTTACGAAGCCACCACCCCTCTACGTAGCCCAGGCTGGCCTGAAACTCCTAGGCTCAAGTAATCCTCCTGCCCCAGCCCGCTGAGCCTTTTTGTAGGCTACTTACCTAAAAATTAATTAATTTCCGATTGAAATGCATTTGTTTTGTCTCCAACTTTAACTTCATTTTAAAACTTATCTTAAAATTTACCTATTTTCTGCTGGGTGCAGTGGTGCACGCCTATAATCCCAGCACTCCGGGAGGCAGAGGCAGGTGGATCCCTGTGAGTTCGAGGCTAGCCTGGTCTACACAGAGAAACCCTATCTCAAAAAAAAAAAATACTTCTTTTCTTTCATTTAGTCTCATCTTTTTTTTTTTTTTTTTAACATTTATTTATTATTTATACAACATTCTGCCTGTACACCAGATCTTACTATAGATGGTTGTGAGCCACCATGTGGGTGCTGGGTCTTGAACCCAGGACCTCTGGAAGAGCAGCCAGCGCTCTTAACCTCTGAGCCATCTCTCCAGCCCCTAGTCTCACCTTTTCCTATTTTTCTGTTTCCGGGCTGAATCTCACAGTGCTGCCCGGGCAGGAGTTCACCTTGCCATTCTCCTGCCTCAGCCTCTGCCAGGTGAGGTTCATCTTTGTTGATGCCGTTTCCATGGGCGAAGGCGAAGGAGGAGGTCACTGTGTGCACGGAACGACTCCGGCCCGGGGGTGGGGGTGTGGACACGCTGAATTTGCAGATTTTAGGGACCCCGCTAACAGATTCGGTTATGTGTTTTTGTGTTGTTTTCCGAGGATGGGTTTCTCCGTGTGGCCCAGGCTGGCCTCGAACCCAGAGACCCGCCCGCCTCTGCAGGGCGCCACGGCCAGACAACAAGGCGAGGGGGGAGTCGCTATTAACAAGTAAGACTTTTATTAAATAAACTTTTCGGTTTTCTAGGCCAGACAGAGGCGCCCGCCGAGCGGCCCAGGAGGCCCGGCCGCGCCGTCGAGCCGCCCCGCGCGCGGGCAGGAGGCCGGGGCGCCCCCTCCAGAACCCCCCTCCGCCCCCGGCCCCCCCCCCGCCTCCGCCCGGGGCGTCCCGAAATGGGCCGTAGCAGAAATAAAGCCGGTCGTACAAATCACATAGGGTCTCTCGCGTGGAGTATAAAAATGGTATTTACAGCTCGTAAACATGAACTAGACGGCGCGCACGGCGGCGCGCACGCGGCGGGGCCCGCGCCCGGGCACGCGCGCTCGCGCACGCGGACGGAACACAGCCTCACCGGGGAAGGTCGGGCGCGGGGTCGCCGAGCCGGGAACGCGGGACGAGGGGCGGGGGGGGGGAGGGGGTGTTTTGTTTTTTGTTTTTCTCCTTTGACTCGGGTCAGTCGACAAACATTTTGGTAGAAACAAAAAAAAAAAAAAAAAGAAAAAAAATTTTTTTTGCCTTTTTTTTTTTTTTTTTTTTTTTTTTTTTTTGTCTTTTTGTTCTGCTTTTGGACACGTCGGAAGGGACGGGGGGACCCGGGCCGCCCCTCCCCCGCCCCCGCGTGACGTCCGAACTAACGCCTGTGTGCTTTGCGGTGGGTGCGGGGCGGACGGCGCGCAGGGCGGCCCCCCACCAGGACCTCCCGACCCCCCCCCCTGCACCCCTCCACGCCCTGCTCCGTGGTCTCGTTCGCGCTCGCTCAGAGAGAGACCACCGAGTGAGTAAGGAAATAAATACGAGAGAGAGAGAGAGAGAGAGAGAGAGAGAGAGAGAGAGAGAGAGAGAGAGGAAGTTAAGAGTGCGGAGTGCGCGGTGTCAAGCGACCGGGTCCGACTCAGGGCGACCTCAGGTTCGAGACCTTCAGTTCACGGCTGGTGATCAGAGGGGGGCGGGGCGGGGCGGGGGGCTGGGGGGCAGGAGGCTTCCCCGGCCGGAAGCTAAAGACACCTGGTCACCCACGTAAGGCTATGAGACCGGGAGGGGGGCGGGGGCGGCAGCCGTGGAGACCCCAGAACTGGAGGTATATGGTGTTGGTGGGGTCCCGGGGTGGCGTCCGGCGGGGGCGGCGTCCGGCCGGCCTCAGCCTGTCTGTCCTTGGTCCCCGCTGACTGGCCGGCGCAGAGCCACCGCCCGGGACGGGGAGTTTGGCCCCTGTGGTTCATACTCCAAAAATATATAGTCTATGACTGGCGCACTTCGACGCGCGGCTACGGGGAGCGCAGCGGGGAGGGGGCTGGCTGAGGGGGGCTGGCTGACCTGGAGAGCCCCAGGCGGGGGGGGGTGTCCCCAGGCCGAGGGGCGGGTGTCGATTGGCAGTGTATGGACCCCTCAGACCCGGGCGCAGACTCCTGTCCCCCGGCCCCGCGACAAGCCACGGAGCCTTCGGTACCTCGAGTGGCTCCTGGCGGCTTCGCTTCGGGATTTTTGGGGGGCCGTGCGTGGCAGACGGGTGGGGGGAGGGGGGCGCGGGGAGGGCTGGTGTCCAAACTTGGCTGTAATGTACAGAAAAGTCCTGGGGAGGATGAGGGGCACTGGGGAGCAGGAGGGGAGGCGGGGAGGACAGCGGGGCCCCACTCCGCCTCTGTCCGAGCAACAAAAGCCCAGCGTTCAGGAGAAACAACAGTTCTGACAGTCACCAGGCCGGGCCGCGCTCGCTCCTGACAGGGAATCTCCCTCCCAAGCCCAGGGACGCTGGGTTAAAAGTGAAGACGTGGGCAGATGTCCCGGGAGGGGGGGGCGGAGGGGGGAAGTTCTTCCTGATTGACAACAGGTTTCCTAATCGAAACCAAAATAAAGAAAGCCAAAAGACCTAGATAACAGACCAAAACACTGAAGCACTAGACTGCTGACCCCCCGCCAGACAGACCCTGGGCGGGGGGGGGGGGGGGGGTAAGAAAAAGAGGAAAATCCTAAGTGTTCCTGGGTGCTCTGGTGGCGGCTGCTGGGTGGCTGAGCAGCTGCCTCCCACGAGGCCACTGTGCAGTTGGTTCCACCTTTTAAAGTCAGGTCAGTCCCAAAGAAAGTGCTGAGAATGCTGATGGGGACATTTGACTTTGGGTTTTTTGTTTGCTCGTTTGTTTGGGGTATTTGGCTTTTTGATGTTTGTTCTCCCAGGCCGTGAGTGGCACACACTCTGGGTTTCGTGAACCCACCGGACAGAACTCTTGGGGTCCACGGGAGCTGGTGGGGACGGAGGGGGCGGACCGGAAGTCTGCTTCAGTCCTGGGCAAAGCTTAACTGGGCATTCAGCTGCGGGGACCCAGGTCTGAGGTGTGAGCTGCGCGACCTCTCTCTGGTTTTAGGGCGTCTCAGCTCCGGGAACAGCTTCACGGGACGGAACGGAAGCCCCGCCCATCCCGTCACACCCTACACCCCAGACCACAAACCCCACGGGAGCCAACTATTCATCCTTCAGAACTTTCTCCGCCCCCTTGGTGGGCGCTCCTAGGTCTCTCCATTTCCCACCCGGGGCCCACCCTCTCTCTGTGCCACCCAAACCACCAGGTGATGGGGAGGGGCTTGTCCCCAGCTGGCCTCTTGGCGAGTCACCCCCGCCCCCAGGACCTGGAGAGTGAGCTTGGGATGGGAGGGTTAGAAGACACCAGGGCTGGGCAGGGCACAGGGCCGCCTGGCGGCTCACCTGGGGCCAGACCCACAGCGCGGAGGGGCTGTGGGCGTGGTCAGTATGGGTGTCCCGGGTCTTTGGGTCTCTTCAGCTGCACCTTCAGCCTCTTCATACCAATCTGAAAGCCGTTCATGGCCTGGATGGCCGCCTGCGCGCTGGCCGGGTGGTCAAAGCTCACGAATCCTGAGGGGACAAAGTGACTGGGGCTCGTGAGGGACGGTGGTCCTGGCTTCCTGTAGAGAACGCTGGACTCGCACTGTACGCTCTAGGGGCAGGGGCCTCGCTCCCACCCAGTCCAGTCTGCTCGACTTCCCAACGTGAGACAGCGACCACAGCCTCGCTTTCTTCCGACAGCAATGATGTGGCACCGAGGATTGGAACCTTATCCTTGCCGGGCACCCTGAGCCAGACACCCCCTACCCCTCACTGGGGGGTATCTAGGCGGGGCTCCACCCTGACCACGCCCCCGGCCCCTCACTGGGGAATTCTAGGTGGGGCTCCACCCTGACCACGCCCACAGCCCCTCACTGGGGGTATCTAGGCGGGGCTCCACCCTGACCACGCCCCGGCCCCCTCACTGGGGACGTCTAGGCTGGTCCACTTACCGAAACACTTGCTCTGGTTGGTAGCCCGATCCATAAACACCTTGGAGGAGATGATATTGCCGAAGGGGAGGAACATCTGGGTCAGCTCCGTGTCTCCAAACTCCTGGGGGAGGTGGTAGATAAACAGGTTACAGCCTTCGGGACCTGTAGGTGGGGGAGAGAAAGACATAAAGCCCCCAAGGAGAGGAGGCGGACCCCCCCTGGGTTGGGGTCCAGTCCTTGTCTCTGGCTGTAGATGGAGCAGGAGGCTTCTCCAGACACCGAGAGGAAATGCCAGGGAGCAGAGGTGGGCCCCAGGAGCCTTGACTCCCCCACATGCCAGCCACCCATCACAGAACAAACCCGGGGAACTTCTCCTTCTGCCCTGGAAGCACAAGCCAGGGCCTCCTGGGGGACTCCCAAAGCCCCGTGCCCTCTGCGGCCAGCCTCCACCTCTAGGCCCTGTACACCTCGGGCCTTGGGCGGTGTAACACACACCTGCCATTTAAAAGAAGCCTGGGCTGATGCCACCCACCCGTCAGCCCAGCACTTGGGAGGCTGAGGCAGGGGTATTGCTGTGTTTATGAGCTCAGTGTGAGCTACACAGTGAGGCTTTGTCAGAGAGAGAGAGAGAATTCATTCCAGTGAGGGAGCCAGGCCTGTAGCTGGGAGGCACGGAGGCTGTCTGTCCGTCTAGCTAAATTTAGGGGGCATGTGCCACAGTGCGTGTACGGAGGTCAGAGGACAACTGGCAGGGGCGCTTCACTGTGGGGTTCTGGGGCTCAAACTCAGGTTATCATGTTTGGTGGCGAGCCGTCCTCCTGCCTTGGACTTGAAGGAGGGCTGCAGGGCAGCCCGGGTGGGACACTGGCTACTCCTCGGAGCCCCCATCACAGGGGAGGCAGAGCCTTCCCCAAGGCCACACTGCCACAGGGATGGCCTCAGGTGCCACCTCCCGCCACTCCCCAGGCCTCTGTTAGTCCACAGGGAGTGTGTAAAAGGGGGGCCTCCTGGGGAGAATGCCCAGATGCCTGGAACTTCCTTCTACGCAGGTGGAGCCCGACTGCAGCTGGGGAAACTGAGGCAAGTCATTAAGTATTCTCTGATCACTGTGCTCAGCCAGAAGAGGACGTGAGTGGCCCTGGGTCACAGGACTCCGGACTCCAACTTCCTCCTGCATGCCCTTCACTGGGAAGGCCTCAGTTTACCCAAGATATCTCCTGGAACTCCGGACTCCCGTTTCCTCCCGCATGCCTTCCACAGGCTTGGCTTCACTGGCAAGGCCTCAGTTTACCCAAGATACCTCCTCACACAAACGCGCACCAAAAAGGGGGTTTCCTCGCTTGTCCATAGGGGGTGGGAACCGCAAGCCTTTCCACGGAGGGGCGAGGTCAGCAGTGCAGGTGAGGGCGGGGCTGGCAGGGGTCGCCTCACCTTCCCGCTGCTGCTGCAGGAGGTGCGGAGGCTGCGGGACGCTGGGCGCCACGGGCGCGATGGCCGCGGTGGGGTACATGGCTGCGGAGAGCAGAGGCGGCGCTGAGTAGCAGGACCAGGGCAGAGGGTGAGGCCGGGCCGAGAGGCGGGGACTGGGTCAGGCAGGACAGGGCCAGAGCTGAGGCTGCGTCGAAGGGCAGAGCTACTACCGCAGCAGGACCAGCCAGAGAGGGGTGGCGCAGGGGAGCATTCACGGCCAGACAAGGATAGAACTAGAGGGGGTAGCGCCCCAACAGCCAAATGCTGGGGTGGGGTGGGGGGGATTGCCTGAGGGATGGGCCTGACCCTCACTCGCATCTCTGCCCTCCACCACGCCTCGCTGGTTGGTTCCCTGTAAGCTGCGGCCCTGGCTTGCCTCCTTATACCCTGAGCCCACCCCTCAGGCCCTAGCTCTGCCCTCAGGCCCTGGCCTGACCTCTCAGCTTTTCCGTCCCCACCACCACTCTGGCTGTGTCTAGCCCCCAGACCCTGATTCTGCCTAGTTCCTACCACGTCCCTTGCCCCGCCCAGACTCTCCCCAAACACCCCCTACCCCCCAACCCCGTCCTGCCCCTGCCCCACCATCCAGCTACAGCCCCGCCTCTCTGGCCCTGGCCCCACCCCTCAGCCCTAGCCCCACCCCACCCTCAACCTAACGAAGCAGGCCCAGCGGGGTGTAGGCCCATGGCACAGTGAGGTGGGGCCAGCGTGGAGGGCAGGGTCCTGGGTGGGGTTGGTCCATGGTGGAGGGAAGGGCTATGAATGGAGGGCTGGGACAGGGGCGTGGCCACGGCCAGAGCAGAGTGGAGAGGATGCAGGGCTCCCCAAGTGAGCGAGCCTAGAGCTAATCACAGCCTGGGCCCGGGGGTGGGGTGGAGGGGTGAGGGGCTGATGGCACTGCGGCCAGGACTCAACACTGGGCGCCGGGATGGGATCGTGTCTAATGAACTTGGTGACTCTGGCTCTGCCTCTGGGATGGGGTTAAGGGCTCATGAGGGAGGCAGGGCCAGAGTCACACACAGAGTTAGGGTAGAGAGCCAAGGCAGCCCTGAGTCTGGGGGAGGCAGTCTGGGTCCTGCGAAGGAGATGAGGAGGAGCCAGGCCTAAGAGACGGTGCACATTCCTCAGAGGGCCATGGAGGGCGGGACCCCAGACCGCACAGGACAGGGGCCTGGCGAGCGCGCGCAGGGGCGGGGCCCTGAGCTGAGCAGTGGGCATGGGTATGACTAGGGCTGTCCGGCCACAGGGTCAGGACAGGGCCGCTTCTACCTGTGTACTGCTGGACTCCAGAGAAGGCAGGATGGAGGGTCTCTGCCACAGTGGGGCTCTGAGCTGCGGGACAGAGGGTGAACTGAGCCCTGACGCCCGCGCCGCCCAGTTTCCCGGTGTTAAACCCCCACAGGCAAGCCAGAGAAACTGCATCTCATACCTGCACTGCACTCGGCCCCCACTTACAGCACATGACAGACACCAAATGAACCTGTGTGTCCATCACTGGTCAGCTCCAACCCTGTCCCCTCGGCGCCCAGGAAAACCCTCCTGTGACAGTCACCTGCCACACCCCCGTCCCCTGCCCGGACTCCCTCATGCAACCTGTGGGGACCCCCAAGCGGTCTACAGCCGGCCCAGTCCCTGGATTGGGCCACTAGCATGCGGGCTGGCAGCTCCGGCCCAGCCTGCCTCACTGTGACGGTGCCGAGTCTCGGCTGACTACAGAATAAAGAGTCACGCCAAGTGCAGCCGTTCACAGCCGTCATTTGGTAGGTGGGGACTAGAGGATTGCCCTCGGTCCAGCCTGAGCTACCAAGGGAGTCTAAGAGCAGCCCAGGTACACAGAGAATTGAAGGCAACCTGGACCTGATCCTGTGACCCCGATCTCAAACAGCAAACAAGGTGAGGCGCCTGCCTAAAACTGGCTGGATGCCACCCCCCCATCCAGCCTCTGACCTCACCTGGACCATTTTGTTGTTCCAGAAACCAGCTAGAGCTGGAATTTGAACTCAGAGCCCACCGGGGTATGTGGGTCTGAGGTAGCCTCCCCCAACCTCTCCCCGTGCTCACACCCCTCATCCTGCTCTGCTGTGCCCGTGGCGTGTCCCCCAGTTCAGGCCCACTCCAGACGCAGTCCACTCTCCCAAGTTACCTGGGTAGGGCACAAGGCCATTGGCATACACGGTCTCCAGGGTGGGGTGGCTGGCAGGGAAGGGCAGGACGCCTGGGAAGCCATTGGGGATAGGCGCCACCAGGCCAGGAACAGCGGCAGTGCCGAGCAGTGGGGGCGAGTGTAGCCCTGAGGAGGGGAGAGGGTCAGACATGGGACCTGGACGGGGGCCGCCCGCGTGTCCTGAAGTCCCCCAAGCTGCTCTCACCAGAGGTGGGGGCGATGGGTGTGGCAGGCAGGCCATTAAGGCTGACGGCGCCGATCTGCTGGATGTGGCAGGGAGGGAAGGCCACGCCGGGGCTCAGGTAGCTGCCGGAGGTGGACAACACAGTTGTCTGCTGCTGCATGAGCTGGGGACAGAGGCAGTGTGAGTGTGACCCGGCCCAGCGCAGCTCAGGGTCCCGAGGGACATGACAGCCCAAGCCGGGATCAGAGCTCAGTCAAGAACTGGGGCTCAGCTCCAGAGGAGTGTTTGGTTAGGGTTCAACATGCATTAGCTTTTGGTTGGGGAAAAAGGCTCAGTCAGAAACTGAGGCTCAGACTTCAATCAAGGTTCCTTTTGGGATCTGGGATGAGTCCGGCATTAGGCCTCAGCTTGGGATCAGGGCTCAGTCTGGGTTCAGGGCTAAGTTAGAAATTGAGGCTCAGTTGTGGATCAGGATTCAGCTTGAGTACAAGATCAGTCTTGGGATTTGAGATCTGGTAAAACACGGGATCCAGGCTCAGCCTTCACTCAGAACTAGGTTTAGAAACAAGGCTCCAATATTTACATCCAAATTGGGATCCAGCCTGCCTTGGAACAAGGCTCAGTTAGAATCTGGGGCTCAGCCTGGAATCAGGGATCAGTCAATGATCAAGGCTGAGTCAGGAGCTGGGGTGATGTTAACCCCGAGGGCTTAGCCAGAGTTAGACCCAATACATGGGTCAGAATGTGACAGTACCATTCTTCCCACAGTCTGGGGCCTGGGATCAGGGGTCAGTCGGGGCAGGTAGCTGTGTTTGGGGGTGCCTGTCAAGGTCTGGGACTGAGGCTCATGAACCTGTCTGGATTGGGGTGGGGGGAGCTCAGCCCTGGCCAGGACAGGGTCACACTGAATGAGCAACAGGGAGAGGGCAGGGTGGGGCAGCCCCCCCGTGCTGGGGCCACTCACAGCCTGGGCGTAGGCACTGTAGGGGCTGAAGGGGAGGGTGAGGGATGGCGTCAGGATGCCCAGCTGGCCGACCATCTGCTGCATACGCCGCAGGGTCCGCTCTTTATCCGTGTCAGCGAACTTGACCACCAGGCTGGACGAGGCTCCCTGGAGGGGGATTGTGTGGAGTTGGGGTGGACGGGCAGGGGTAGCCGGGACTCTGGCACTCCCCAAGGAGGAGAGCGGAGATGCCAGCTGTGTGTGAGTCCATATCCAGGCCAACCAGGGCCACTCAAGAGGGGCACGGGGCTTGTCATGCTGGGCCGAGCTTGCGAGTGGCCCCCTGGACAGACCACCCGCTCCTGGATGCCAGTCACGAGGAAACTGGCCCTGGGGATGACCTGACCCTGCCTGGATGTTAGGGAGACAACTGCAGCTCTCGGGCTGGGGACTCAGTTTCCCCTGAGTGGTGCACACTCCTGGGATCCACCCTTGGAGAAAGACCACAGCCATACCTGAGTGTTTTTACACCTGGGACCTTGGACGCCTGCTCCCCACCCTCCCTTGACCAAATGGGTCACCAGGACCCCCGTTATCTCCTTACAGTCTCTCCACATGAGCCCACATCCTTCAGGCGGGGACCTGAACTCAGCGGCCCGGCCAGGCTCTCAACCTCCTCCTTTCCCTTGCGCACTCGTGGCCCTGACCTAAAGAGCCTGGGTAGATGGCCTGGCAACTCCCTCACCCTGTGCCCACTGTGGCTCCTTACTGCCTTAGAACAGAGTCCACGGTCTCTATACATTGTCCAGCCTCTGGCCCTGCTTCCATGCCACAAGCTAAGAGCCCACTCGCCCATGACAGTGCCTGGTCACACAGAGTCTGCTCACGGCCTGCAGCCTGCGCTGCACACTGCCCATCTGTCTATGAAAGGATGACACCCAACCACCCATATCTCCCACCCGCCCTCACCATTCCCACCAGCCCCACTGCAGCCAAGGGCAGCTCTCACTCACCGGCATGGTCTGGCTGCCGTGCAAGGCATGGATGGCCGCCTGGGCCTCTGTGTGCGAAGAAAACTTCACGAAGGCACAGCCTGGGAGGGGAGGGAGGAGGAGGTGAGGGATCAGAGGACTGAGGATGTAGGGGTGGGGAACAAGGGGGAAATGAAGCCCTTGATTGCCACTCATGAACAACAGCAGATGTGAGTTCACACCGAGAGAGGGACTAGGACAGCCAGAACAGACAACACACACACACATCCTCCAGGGACAGAGACATAGCTGTCAACCACAGATTCAGCTGAACAGAAAGCCACCTACCTCCACTATCCAGCCATTCAACTGTCTGTCCATCCATCAATATACCCCCCCACCCATCTATCCACCCTCCCTCCATCCATCCACCCATCCATCTACCCACCCATCCATCCATCCATCCATCCACCCATCCATCTACCCACCCATACATCCACCCATCCATCTACCCACCCACCCACCCATCCACCCATCCATCCATCCATCCACCCATCCATCCATCCAGCCATCCACCCATCCATCCATCCAGCCATCCGCCTTGCGTGCATCTCCCCTCTCCAGGCCTAAGTGCAGTACTTCTCCTTCCCCCACTACAGGAATAGGATAGGAAAACCCTGAAGAACGGTCAGTTCACATACACGCAGCCTGCGGCGCAACCTCATCCCTCCTCACAGGTTCCAACCATCACTCTCCGCAAACACCCACCCCACCTGCTCCACCCCTTCCCATAGGCCACGCCCACCGCCAGTCCTACCCCACGGTACCATTCCGGCAAGCCAAACTCAGCCCCGCCCCTCCCCTCCGTGAGGCTCCGCCCCCACCGCCAGCCAGTTACCTTTGCTGCTGCCGTCGGGTCCCCGCAGCACTGTGCACTCATCGATGACACCGAAGGGCTGGAAGAGCCTGAGCACGTCTTCCTCGGACTGCTGCTTGTTGAGCATGCCCACGAACAGCTTCCGGTCCCCTGTGGGCGGAGCCCCGGCCCACGGCCCCGCTGAGCCCGCGCTGGCCCCGCAGACCCTCAGCCCTGGCCCGCGCTGCCCCAGGACCTTTGCTCAGGCTGCCCCGCTGCCCCGTTGCCCAGGGATGAGAGCCGGGTTGCTAAGGAAACCATACTCTGGCGACTGTCACTCACTGGGGTGAGAGGAGAGGGCTAGCAGCGGAGACACTGGGCATCAGGGAGGAAGTCAGGAGATGGGGGACCGAGTCAAGAGATGGGGCGAGAGCGAGGGACGGGGCAGGGGCCTTGTCCCGACCAGCAGCAAGATAGAAGGCGACAGGGACTAGTAAGGCCGAGCTCCATCGAGCGTCTCAATGTAACATGGGCCCCCTACAGCCTTGCCCACACCTCTCTGCGCGCCCCCAGCTTGGGGCTTTCAAGCGCCAGTGAGGGAACAGAAGAGGTGCGGGGTCTGAAGTCTGGGGACCCCAACCCCGAGGCTGCAGACAGGACCCGGTGCAGAGGCCGGCGGCCACCAGCCAAGGGGAGAGTACTACTACCTCCGCGACTCTCACTGTCCGCTGGCTTCACCTGGATCGGTCTCGCCATCTGTGGGAGGGAGGGGCGCGGTCAGGGTGGCCGGGGACAGCGGCACGGGACAGCGGCACAGCACGGCTCTAAGCCCTGCCAGGCCCGGTGGCCCGCCTGGGGCTCGGCGTACACTCCAGCCCCGGGCAGGTGAGACTCGCCTGGCCAACTCTTAGGTGGCCTCCAAAAGCCAACAACAACTATCTCCGCCACAGGACAGACTGTCTCTGAAAACGGTCCCAATTCCCAGAGCCCTGGGGGCAAATGTCACGTTCCGATTTCTGTCTTGGAGGAGTCAGTCCATGTCTGAGCCCCGAGTCTATGCGTGGCTAGGTGACCTCCTCCAGCAGAGAACATAACATCCAAGCCGGAACTCAGAACGGAGGGTGCTGGGGACCTCGCTGCTCTCCGGATACGGAGTCCAGATGTGCCAGTCAGGCTAGCCTGGGGTGGCTCCCTCGAGGGCTCCCCAAGAAGCCTTTGCTAGCCCAGGGGACCACAAACAAATGAAATGACTGGGAGAGGAAGGCGTCCCCCCCCCCCCCCCCACGGCCCTGAGGACAGCCTCACGGAGACCAAGAACAGGCTGGAGAGGGCCCTCATCCGGGAGGCTGTATTTGCTCTCCTACCGCCCCAGGATGGAGTCCTCCTCCTGGCTGGAGTGAGCTCCTATTTGTCCTTCAAAACCGAGCATCAAAAATGCAGGCCAAGGGCTCAGTGGTTAAGAGGACTGACTGCTCTTCCTGGGGACCCCAGGTGCAATTCCCAGCACCCACACGACACCCTCACACAGACACACATGCAGGCAAAACACCATTGCAAATAAAATAAACATAAATTTAAAACATGCAGGCCAGGCGGTGGTGGCACACACCTTTAATCCCAGCACTCAGGGAGGCAGAGGCAGGCTGATCTCTGTGAGTTCCAGGCCAGCCTGGTCTACAAAGTGGAATCCAGGACAGCCAAGACCACACAGAGAAACCCTGTCTCAAAGAAACCAAAACCAAACAAACAAACAAAAAGCAGGCAGCAATCCTCCCTTCCATCAGGGCTCCCCACTGCCTCCTGCCTTTGTCTCCCACAGACAGGGGCCTCGGAGCCACAGAGTAGAAGGAAAAATCTATCATGATAGGGCTAAGGAAGGAGGGGACCAAGAGGGCCCAGGAGCTGGGAGTGGGGGTCCCCGCCTCCTCAGAGCCATGTCAGGTGAGGCCCTGCGCATGCAGCCCCGGAACTCCTGGGCTCTTGCTTCGGGTCCCCGGGCATCAGGCACAGAAACCTGTCCCACGGGAGCCCACCTGACAGCGCCCCATGAGCCCAGAGCACCCTCCTCCGACCCCCCAAACCTCGGCCCTCTCCCGCCCCCGCGGGACCCTCGGTGTCCTCACCTTTAACCCCCAAGTGCTGTCCCCACCCGGCTGTGAACGCCCCCCCGTAGTCCACCGCCCGCCCCCTCCCCTCTCCTACACCGCTCTTCATCGCCCACCCCTCCCCAAATCCTGCCCCACCCCCTCGCCCCTCTCCACACCCCTCCCCTCCCCCGTGTGCTTCCGACTTCCTCTGGGCCCCTCCCCTTCCGGAATCCTTCTCCTCCCGCCCCAACTTGGGGAGGCCCTCCCCTCCTCTGAGACCCTCTCGGGCACCCGCACAACCTGCCCTCCCCACTCCCGGCCAGATTCCGCCCAAATCCACCCACACCTCATCCCCTCTGAACCTGTGTACCACACCACACCCCGGGGTGGGGGGAGGCGATCTGAACCGGATAGTTCTGCTTCTGGGGTCGCTCCGGATGCCCAGGAGGAGTGTGGGGGGACGAGGCAGGGGAGGGGTCCCCACATCTAGCCTTTCGTTCCCCCCACGGCCCCTCCCACACGCCCCCGCCGGCCCTCCACCCTCCTCGCCATCCTCTCTAGCACCTTGGGCAGATGAAGATGGGGTTGCCATGGCAACGCTGATTCACCCCACGGAAGCTGGCAGTTGTTGCTGCCATGGAAACCGCCTCTGTGGGGCCCCCTCCGAGTTCAGATCTCGCCTTGCACAAAAGAGATTTAAATATAATCTTTCAGAGACGCGGAAGGGGGAGGAGGGAGGGGAGGGGGGAAGACGCCGGCCCTGTCGCCATCACCCCATCACCAACCTTGGTCTCCAGCACTCCCGGGTTCCCCCCTCCACCCCACAGCGACAGAGAAGGGGCCACGGAGAGCCCATCCCGCCCACATCACGTGCTCCACCCTGGAGTCCCCGAATTCGACCCGCCCAGGTGCCGCTGCCCCTCTGCTCCTTCTCCCTCCCCTCCCACCGCCTCCCTCTCCACATTCAGCCCTCCTGCACTGACACTTGGGTAAGACTGGGGGGGGAACCCCAGGAAGGACGCTCACTAGTGTCTCAAAGTAGGGCAACAGAAAAAGAAGTTCACCAGGACCACCGTGGTCAAAATCTTCGGTGGGTTTTGAGGCAGCAGTAGGAGTTTGCTGGGGGGGGGGGCAGTGTCCCATACCCATTTCATCTCTGAGCTGTGTGTTACAGATGGGGAAACTGAGGCCTTTGGACAACCTCAACCTGTCTAGCTCCCCAGCTGTTCTTATAGTCTCTCAACACAGCATTCAAGGCCTCCAGCAAGAGCCTGCTCCCGAGACCGCCCCCTGTTCCTTTCAAAACTGAGGCCTTCTGTAGTGCTCCCAAGGGAGGAGGGATGCCCCCAAGCCTTTCCACCCAGAGGCTGAGATAGGACCAAAAACTGAGCACATGCCCTCAACTTCAGACCAGACAGACGAGGCCGCCATTGAGCTGCAGAATACTACACAGCCCTGAAAAAGTTCGGGAAGACTCTTTTAGTGGGGAGGGCCGGGTAAGGGGGGTTGTAGGAGCCACCCACGTGCTGGGCAAATCCTTCATGAGCGTGTACCCTGTGTGCTTGCGCACAGCTCAGTGGCGGTCCGCCACAGTCTCTCCCTGATCCTCATGCAGAAGGCTGCCAGGGTCTGGGGAGGGGGACAGAGCACCCAGATCCCAGATGACCTCAAGCAGGTCATCTTCCCTTTCTGAGTGAGCCTCAGTCTTCCTGTCTGCTGGGCTGACACGGCATAGTTGGGGAAACTGCGGCCTGGAGCTGTGGCCTCAGAGCCCATCAGAGCTGGAAATGCACCTGTGCCCAGGGAGGCACCTTGACAGGGACTCACAATGGTAGGGACACAGCCCCAGGTCCCCACATTCCCGTGCCCCCCGCCCCACAGAGGGACTTGCAGTCTAGAACGTTCTTTCTGGTCCATGTCAATTTCTCAGAATTAAATGACATCAGTTCCTCGCTCCCGAGTCCCAGCGTCAAGAGGACACTTCCTGTGTGGGTCATGCCAAGCTCCGGGTCCTGAGTGGGCGCCGCCAGGCCCCACCAGGCCCCACCTTGTTCTGGCCCCACAGCTGTGTTTCTATTAGTTTTATCAGCTGTGTCTCTCTATAGAGCCCTAAATATGGAGTCCTTCAGCACATGGGGGGGGGGAGCTGACCGACGGACGGACGGACGGACAGACGGACCGGACCGGCGGAGCACAGAGTGCTCTAGAATGGCTCTGAGCAGCTGCTGAGTTTCAATTCATCTTAAGGTCCGAAAATGTGAGTTTGAGTTGACGCCTGATCTTATTTCGGGAAAACTGCTTAGCACAATTTGGACCATGACTGTCTGTGTCAGCCGTGGATCTTGGCCTGCCCAGTCCACGGCTGCTGACAAGTCTACCCTGCACTTAGGGGGCAGAGGCAGGGGATTGCGTGTTCAAAGCCAGCCTGGGCTACGTGGAGCAATCATTCTGCCCAAATTGATGAAAACGCAAGGAAACAGGACGTGAATAGTTGGTGGGATGGAAGGTTCCCACGGCTGCTCTCTCCATCCACGCATCTAAAATGCGGGGGCTCTGGGAACCGTGTAAAAGGAAAATCTAGTTTGTACGGACTTCTCCCTTTACTTTTTTTTTAACCTGAGGTCTCCTCGCAAATTCTCAGTAACAGACGTGTCTGGCCTTCCAGTGTTAAAAGTTAACCTTTTCCCAGAACAGTCCTCACTTCTTCCTGGCCTAAGAAGGGCCTCTCTGGGTACTGTGAACACAGGCTGGGTCATTCTCTGTGCGCATCCACCCTCTCCATGCCAGGAGGCCAGTGTGACCACCTGTCCGAGACATTGCTCACAGGCTCTGAGGGCACAGGGAGAGACCCGCGCTTAAGCCGTCAGTCAGTGAGCCTCTTCTGCTCCCTTCTCCATGGGCACACTCCACCAGGGGCTGATGCTCCGTCCTCCATAGGGCCCGATGCGGTGCTCACACCCAGGGCCACAAGGTCCTCCCTCCTGACCTCAGGCCTGGCCTTTCCCCAGAAGAGCCCTCCACAGCCGCACCCTGACTGAGAGCCCATGTTTGGGAAAAGGGTCCTTGGTCCTCCGCGTGGCGGAGTGATGGGCACAGTGACAGGAGAAGCCAGGCAGGGTGTGTGTGTGTGTGTGCAAGGCTGGGGATGGGAAGGGGGAGGAAGAAAGGTTCAAGCCTCTACTTTGTGGCCAGAAAGCTCTGCCCAGCATTTCCCTCGTGTCCCTGTCCCCTTTGTCCCCCATCCCTCTCTGTCATCTCCTCTGCTCCAGCTTTTCTGATGCCCGCCCTGCCACAGGGCCTTTGCAGGGCCATGCCTGTCAGTGAGGCTCATTTCTGACCAGGCCAGCTTGCGCCACACACAGCAATCACTTCTGTGATGCACAGAGCCCGGCATACAGCAGGCGCCCAACAGATGCTCATGTTTATGACCCTCTTTTTCTACTTCCTTCTGTGTTCCGAGGCACAGGGACTCTCAGGCTGTGCCCTGTCTGCCCGTCGCCCCCCCGCCCGGAGGACGCACCGTCCACCCCACAGACACTCACCCCCGGCAGCGTCTTCTGCTCGTGCAAGGCCGTCTGAGCTTTGATGGCCGAGTCCCTGGCGCAGTACGTGAGGAAGGCACAGCCTGGCGGGAGAAGCAGCATGTGAGGGGACAGGACTCTGACCCTCACAAGGACCCAAAGGTGCGGGCAGCCCAGGCGCAGGGTTAGACTCCCACAGCGGTCCGGGCACAGCGTGGAATACTACTCAGGCGTGAACAGAACTGAGGCTCTGACATGCCACAGTACGCCCTAGCTAAGCTCAAAAGGCCACACAGTATGGACTCCAGCACAGAAAATCCCCAGACCAGGGGAAAGTGGCTACGGGGAGGGCGCCAGGGAAGGCGCTGCTGTCCGCGGTGCTGAAGTGACTCCCTGTCCCCGTCCCCTCCCCCTCCCCGGGGCTGGCCACAAGGGTCCGCTGGCTCCTGTCTGAACCCCAATACCAAGGCTGTCACCTCACTCAGGAAAGGCACCCCTCTTGTCCGGGCGCCCACTTTCAGACTCGGAGATAAACGGCGTGTTAAGAGGTTCCTGAGCACTGGGCACCCCTAAGTCTGGGAACCTCGGAGAATTCGGGAAAAGTCCCCAAGATTCGGTCAGAAAGGCTGGACTCTACACTAGGCTGCAGGCTGAGGCTCACCGAGGCTCCCTTGCCAGGGAGCTGGGGCTGGCTGATGTGGCTGGACGCCCCTCCCCACACACACACCAAGGGTGTCACCGTGCGTGGTTCCTGGGTGCCCCCAGGCACATGACCCTGGGGCAGAGACAGATGACACCCAGAGCTGGGAGCACCCTGGGGACAGGTGGAAGGAACCTGGAGTTTAAATAAATTCCCCCAAATTACCCATCCAGGCTGGAGGTGCTAACTGGGCGCTGGCACCTCAGCAGACGCCCCCAAATTGCTCGGGAGCCCTCATGTCACTGGCTGTTCTTCTCCCCAGATGGTTCACAAGGTGAACCCAGGCTCAGAGAGGCACAGCAGTGTCCTTGAGGACACACAACAAGTGAGACCTAAGCGGGGTGAGGGAGTGTGGGGGTGTGGGGGATGAAGGATTTCTGAGACTCAAAAAATTCTGGAACGTTAAAGAGGCTAAATTCACGTTATTTCGCTTTTCGGCTTTTAGATGCCTTTATTATTTATTGGCCTACGGAGGGGGCCTGTGGGGGTGGAGCAGAAGCCACTTTGCTGGTGTCAGTTCTCTCCTGGGACCCTCGAGGCGGCAGGGGACAGGCGGCCGGTGCTGGGAATGAAGCCGACATCCCTGAGGAGGGCGGTATTCGTCTGAGCCACTCCATCCTCCCACCCACCTGGAAACGGGCTCCTGGCCAGCTCTGCAGCCTAAGCTAGCCTGGTGATCCTCCTGCCTCAGCCTCCTGGATGCTGGAATCACAGACATCCACCAAGACCCCCAGCCAGATACTCACAGTAAGAACAATTTCCTGTGACTCCACCTGGCCCACCCTGTCATCAAAGAAGACGATGGTGGCCTCAGACCTCACCCCTGAACCCACCCTCATCTTCAAGCTGTCCTTCCTAGAGCAACAACCAAAGGTCCCATGAACACTGAATCACCCAGGCTCTAAGCGCAGCTCTGCCAGGAGCCTCCCTCAGCTCTTCCCAGACACACCCCTCCCATCCCAAGACCTTAGCACAGGCTGTCGTCAGGCTGGGACATCGTTCTTCAGATAAACACCTAATGCCTCCCCACTAACCACTCAATCCCACCTCAGCACCTGCATGAGCCCCATCTCAATCGATCCAAGCTTGACCCTAGGGAAGGTGTGTTAATAATTACATCTCCATCAATCAGTTTTTCTGGGGATGTCACTATCCATCCACCACCCACCCACCCATCCATCCATCACCCACCCATCCATCCATTCAACAATCCATCATCCATCCATCCACCCACCCATCCACCCATCTACCACCCATCCACCCATCTATCAATCCATCCACACATCCATCATGCACCCACCCACTCATCCATCCATGCATCTACCCAACTACCCATCCATCCACCCACCCATCCATCCACCCACCC